TCATAGCCTTCGGTTCCATAATCCAATGTAAATTGATCTACATAATGGCAAACAGAAATGTTGCTGGTCAAAAATGTTGCTGGTTTGTTGGTCTTCAAAATTTAATAGTCTGTTTCCCCTCTTGCTATTATTCGGTCGTCTCCTCTTTGCTATAATGCATAAGAGTCCCAGTGATTTTTTAGTCCTTTCTTATCACTTTTATTTATTTTTTTTTTTTTGCAGAAAAAATAACAGTCAAAAGTTGTAACAAATTACATCCTCGATGTTTGTAGTTTTTTATAATAACTGCTTGATTGTATCTCACCTGTGACAAGAATAAATAGAATCTGTTATTTGGCTTAATTACTTAATTAAAATTGTTTATCTTCACCATTTATTTTAGTTAGATAAAAGTTATTTTTGCTCTCTAAACAAAAAATGAAATTTTTGATGCAGAAGAAGATTTTAAAGTCGGCCTTTATCTGTCAGCGGGCTGCATGTATCCCGTGCCAAATGTATGTTAGCAGTTCAATTTAAAACAAAAGTCATAAGAAATCAAAGTCAAAAGCATCTTTCTTTATGACAGTCCGTCGCTCACTGCAATTAATCAGAGTTCAGATATGAGTTAAAAGGTGAAAATACTGAAATAATTTGCAGAAAGTACCATTAAGAAGAGAGTAAATTTAGAAAACTCAAAGGCAATGAAATCCTTCAAATAAAAACGGTAATGTATAGAAGAAACTAAAGCGGTGCGTACTTTAATGAAAATGTAGGAAAAACTTGTTAAAGAAAAAGTCTTCTAAATAACATCTTGATCTTCTTAAAAAGCTATAGTAGTCTGCCATTTAATAGCCTAACGAAGACGTAAAATAGAACAAAAGTTTTGCAGTTCATGATTAGCATTCAAAAAATCGCGTTGTAAGGATGCCTGTTTTCTACTCTCGACAGTGTATAACTATTCTAAGTGCTTATCAGGTGTTTCTAAGTTTGTTCTTTTTTTGCTTTATTTGTTTGTTCTGATTTAAAGTAAATACGGAATTTCCTAAAACATTTCACTAATCGAAAATGAAATGAGATCAACCTTACTTCACTTAACAGCGTCATTCGTTCAGAAAAGGTTGCAGGTTAAGTCAGCAAAAAAACAGGGTGAAGAAAAATAGTAGGTCAGAAGAGTGCGCATTTACATTGGTATTTCCTAACTGCTATGAGCTAATCAAAATTGCTACTTAATTCTTCCTATCGCTTATAGACCTCAAAATATTTTATCACCAAATAATCTAGCTACGACACTAAGGTGATACCAAAAAAATATAGTAAAAGTGTTGAAATCATATCACATTATAACCGTTTTTCAAGGAAATATTAACTGATCTTAACAACAAATAAAATGAGTTAAAAGAGAAGTGAAAATCTGTGTTACAAACTATAAACTCAACTAATTTCAAAACACAAGCAGTCAGAACATTCAATGCAAGCATAATAAAAAACAAATTCATTCATACCGCATCATTAGTTTTATTTGTTTTATTGCATTCATCTTTTATTGTTAGCCGTTTCTTCTCAATCCGTCATAATTCCGGTAGAGTGCTAAAAATAAGATGAATTAGTGGATAAGACAATAAAGAGGAACAAAACTTGCCTTAGAGGAAGAAAGATGAGATGAGAGACTTGTCTACGTATATTCCCTTGAAAAGTTTAGTTTTTTTCTTGCTAGGTTTTCCACCTTACATCTCAGACTTACACGATAATGAATTTTAATAAACGACTGACACTCAGAGTAGCATAAAAAACTCTTGCGGTCATGATTATTCAAGGTTCAAGCGCAGCGCGGGCACTTGTTTGTAATAGAATCCTTAGCAAGTAACCAGGGACTAACAAATGACCATCTAAATTCAAAGTGTTCTTCCCCATCACACTTGCTTAAAGTAAGCCAAATAACAGAAAAATACGTGCTTTCAAAATCATATTCACAATTGCAAAATAATTCTCTAAAGTTCGGCATCAACAAAATGCAGTTTTCATGTTTAATTGCTATTTGGATTTCAGCGCAACAAAATTTTAGCGCTTGTCAAATGACCCAGACTACGGACTGAACCTGGTGCTCCATCTCTGAGATGGTATAGAAGGCTGCAAACGCTGCTACCCTACGAATTTGGTTACTGGCAGACTGACATATGGTTTAAAAAGTGGACACTTGTACTGTTGCGGTTATAAAATACAATTATTGAAATATGGTTTTCTCGGGTGTTTACTGGAAAGAAAAATAACAGAAAAGATAATAAAAACAAAGAAACAAATTAGGAAGGAATTAGTGCAGTTTGATGGTGGGATGCCTGTACTATCGTGTAAAATCATGAATGTCAATTGAATCTGCAGAAGCTGAATAAAAAGAACTTTTTAATCAACAACTAATATAAATTTTTAGTAAAGTAACAGCTAGCTGCTAACAGCAATTCATTTGACACTTACTTTGATTTGGGTTAGGATATATACACAGATTGGCTTTGAGTCATCGCCAAATAATTCTATACTAATGGTAGCTAAATAGCCAAGTCGGTGAGCTCGTTCTGCTAGTAAATAGATACTTTGTACATAATCAATATGATGATAAAAATATTGTCACGCTAGATTTCTTTCAATAGAAAAAACATTAAAAATTTTTTATTTATTCTACTTAAACAGCACTTCTTTTGGTTGAACGATAAAGCTTTTTTTCTTTTTATTAAAAAATGTTCTTCTTCAAATGTCTACAATTTTAATGCGGTTTCTTCAGCATTACTGTGGAAAATTGTGTAGGTGTGTCTCATAATGAAATGCTTTGAGAAACAAACTTAGTTACAGTTTTATTGCGAGTTAACCTGGTCAACTATTTCTGTTTTGCTGTCTCATAGAACAACATTCACTTACAGTTTTGTCACTTATATTTCAAAATAAACGTTTAGAAAAAGACTAGGTGAAAAAGTTTTTTTTGGTCTACTATGCTAAAATCAATTGTCTTGCTCTACAAAGGATTAGAAGGTAGGTGTTAGCTTAGGTTTTTAAGCTGTTAAGTAACTTTATAATTAACTGTGATATCATCGTTTTGATCGACAAACAGACGTTACTTTTTCTGTTCTGATAGAAATGATTCCACATCAGTGATTGTCAGTGTTAATAACAAATTTGATAGCTTTTAAAACAAAAACTGCTTAAGAAAACTGCATATGCAGCTGTACAGTTTCGTTCTCATGCTTAACTTCTTTTTCTCGAATATTCTAGACTCTATTTCAGCCTAAATTAAAAAAATTTAATAACCTTTGTAATTGGTAACTCAGATATTCCATCAACTGCTTGTGGTAGTGAACAAATAAACAGCCAGCAGCTCTTTACTTGGTTGAGAAGTTGCAGTTTGATTAAATGGTTATCTGCAGAACACCATATATCAATATTACTAATCTCTTGTTGACTATTACAGTAAAATTTTGAGCAATTATAAGTTTTTAAAATAAACAGTAAAAGAGGACATAAAATTACAGTTGTTAAACAGCTTATAATTTTTACCAAAATATTACCAACACCAGAAAAATTATTTATCTGATTCATTAAGGCAAATAAAAAAAATAACCAGATTGTCATTTTAGAGTTAATAGCGAAGTCATTGCAGACGTACTGTGATAGCATC